TTACTGAATGCTTATTAGGAAGGAAAGTACAACCCATGACAGAAGCTCACCCAAATGTTGAATATATCATTTATATTTTACGACAGTGAATTATATAGGAGATTCTCAAGTAACTTTCAAATCATCAAACTGTAATTAAATATTGCAAAGACTGTCTGAAAATTCTTTAATTTTTAATGGAAGTTAAATATATATTGTCAGTCTACTTGAAGGTGTAGTATTTTAATGCATGGCGCTCAGAACAAATTGGATAATGAAATGATTACTTTTAAATGAAACTGTTGCAGAAGCATACATGTTTCAGCTGGCAAGGATCTTCTCAATACTCACACACGCACATTCACACACTCAAGAATTGTGAATTCCCAGACTGAAATTACAGCTACTCTGAGGTTTCTGGTGGCAAATTAAAAATCCCACAGAAGCAAAGCTTGAATGAGTTAGGTTCCCCAGATCATACAGGGAAGTATCTGTGGCTCTTTCCTTACATTAAATATTATTTTTAATTTTTTTTAAATATGGACAAATCAGATTTAAATGTATTCTCTTTGTCTCACAGTTATAAATTGCAAGGTTTTGTACGGCTGCAGATTATTAAGATAGGTAAAATAAAATCCGTTCTGCAAATCAGACCTAGATTTCTGTATATAGGGTTGCTACTCATAGATTTAATGTGAAATGTCCCATTAGCAGCATGCATTGTATCAGCGGGTAGACAGGCAGGGCTGCGCTATGCTGGGTGCTGTATATGCAATGAATAGTCGATATTCCCGCTCCTGTGGAGTTCTTGATCGGAGTAAGTCAGGGATTTGTTTGTGTGGCTATGCAGGAGTCCTGTTGTAGGTGGAATATGGGGATTTACATGTCCTGGTGCATGCGTGTACATTCGCTGTCGGCTGTGATACAATGTGGGAAGCAGGACTGGAGAGCGGCATTACTGAAGGAGCCGAGAATTTTGTCGCTGGCTACATCCCGGGGCAGGGCTGGGGTGTAGGTATGAGCTATGCATGTGCTGCCCCAAACCACGAGCTTGCGTCGCATGCACGCTCCTTGGTGGTCTGGGCTGTGGGGCTGCTGGGTGGGAAACCCAGGCAGGATCGGTCTCAACGTGCAGCCTTTCGAGTTACACTCAGGATAATGTGCTTGGCCTTTGGTGGTGGCCCCAAAGAAGCGTTAGGTAAGATGGGATTAGATGCTTCTGAGGGGTCTCACTACATTTCCCAAATGTGCCCCCATCCTTTAAAAATTGTAAATGCTACGCACAAATCGTTAATGTTGCGGGGAAGTTCTTTTCAGTTAGGGTAACAACATTCAGTGTCAATACTGCCTTAATTAAATTTTCTTTTATGTTATCTTGGCACCTCATTTTATGTCGGGATCACATTCCTAATGCGTTCAAAACCCTGTAGGATCCCAAACTTTATAGCTGTTGCTTTCCGTAAAGCAGCAGCTCCTACCGCAGTAGGTCTGGCTCTAACAATGATGCATTTTGAAATCGCCTGCAAGATGTGAAATATGTCTGCTCCAATAAAACCGAGTTTTTAGGCAAGTCTAAGGATTTTAATATATTTACGGAGAAGAGATGCCTTCTATTTCTTCAGCTGTATTTTCATAAAGTTGAGATATTTCACTATTAGGAAAGATGGAGGAAATAAATCTGAAATACTTGTTCCCCACCCATTTTTCCTTCAGCCGTTCTCATCCATAAGATATAATGGATGCTAATACGGCCCAGGCATCTTAAAAATCATAAGTTTTGCACGATAGTTATTGTCTGTTGCTGAGAGTCCTCATGAGTCAAAAATCCTTCCTTCTGACTTAAGACTCTGTTTATATTTTGCTTTTTTTTCAGCGCTTTAACTCTGGATGCAAATGGTTTTTCTGTTGGCTTCTCTATCATTCTCTGATGTCTGCAGATATTTGATCAGCTCTCTATTCTGTGCGTAGCATGGCCCTTCTCTGGCAGCTTACACGCATGGGAAAAAAAAATGTTATCAATAAGTTCAGAGGAGCCTCAGCAGACTCGGAGAAATTTCACACAAACATAAAACAAAACCTAACCCCTGTGACGGGGAAAGTTTACATTGCGCCAGATTTTAGCAGCTTTCTTGTGCCTTTGGTGAGATGTCAGAAGCGCAGGTGATTTTAATTTTCTTGTACAGAGAGGAATGGAGAAGTTTGGAATTTGCATGCATGATCAGGACCTGTGTTTGGGAAAATGTAAACTCATCACAGTGGAAAATGTGTTGTTTGGAGTCTGAGGGTGAAAACAAAGCTGAGGATTTTGGAGAGACTGCCTGAGCCAGATGGCCTGGTGCATTCCCAGTCTGGCAGCCCAACTGCTCCCTCCTGTATAATATACAGCCATTTGTTCTGGGATATTTACGCTAGAGCTGTTTCCATGTGAATGTTTGAAAACCATTAAAAATGAACATATTAGGAGAGATAAATTTATTTAATTTGTGTGAATACGTCGATAAGCAGGCTGCGTATCAAAGGCAGAGGGAGACTGGATAAAATAATTAGATGCTACTGAACGGTGCATTGCGAGAGGCAGCAAGAACTGACCGTCCTCGCCCCGGGACCCAGCGCTGTGCTGCTTGTCCGGGATAAACCTCGCTGGGATGAGTCGAAAATTTGCTTGGGGAAGGGGTAAAAAGTCGGGTAACTAAGGGTTAAGCAGCCGGAGCCAAATAAATGTAATTCACAGTGTTTTCTGTGTAGATATATAGTGGATACAAGCCTAATCCTCTCTGGGTGAAATTCTGGCCCATCTGAAGTCAATTGCACAGCTCCTATTGAATTCGGTGGGGCCAGGGTTTTATTTTCTCTCTGTGTGTATGGCTGTATACGTCACTACAAATCATTTTAGTTCTGTTTTTGAAAAGACCCTCATTTTAATGAGTTTTTCTTTCTCCTTTATTGAAATAAAGGAGATAGTTTGTTTTGTGGAACAGATGAGGGATTTGAAAGCGAGTGGATTTAGATGCACGCTGGCGATTTCTCTCCTCTTTACTCTTTTAAAATCAAGGCCATGATATAACTGAATAATATGATGACTATGATCTCATTCCTTCAAGATTGTTTCTCATCCAGTTCAGAAAGCAGGATCACTTGACGGGCAAACTGACACCATCAGACGATTCTGCCCTCAGTTGTACCAGAATAAATCTGGATTTATTCAGGAATAGCTAAGGACAAAATCTGGCACGTATTTTTTTCCAACTTATTCGTCAACTATTTTACTGCTTTATCCTGCCATCTTTATTGGGGGAAAAAGTGGATTAAATGGCAACTGTAGTCTTGGCTTTTATATTACCCCCCCCTCCCTTTTACTTTATTTTATTTGATTTTATTTTATGATTTCTGTCACTGAAAAGTTTAGGCAAATTGTTGGACGCATTTGTCGTCTAGAAATGACTGCGATGTGCTCAATTTAGTAATTTTTATTTGCTGGCAAGCAGTGAATTGCATTTGATTTAACTTTTCATGCAGCTTTATTTAAATGGGAGTGAGGAAGTCTTATATTTTGTCACTAATTTTTCGGGTCCGTTTGTGCATGAGTGATCGTTACTCATTGGGACTTCTTGTAGAAAGGTTACTTGGGTGAGTAATGGCTTACAAAATAGAAGATGAATTTTGTGGGGAAATATTTAAGTTGTTCAGGAGAAGAAAAACTATTTTGAAACACTTATGAAATAACACCGAGCTAAAACTACATGAAGTAAACAAAAAGAAAAAAAACCCAAAGTCTATAATTTTGCATTTCCTTGCTGGTGTTTTGTTGTGCAACTCTGATGTGTATTTGCAGGCTTATTTTTAGCTCTGGTGTGGTCTAAGTTTATACACTGTAACTTTCACTTTATCGCTTATTAACGTGATCCCTATTTGACAAAATCACGACCATGTTAGTGCAGCAAGGAATCCGGCCGCAATCACCCTGTTTTAAAGCCTGAACTTTAAAAAATAATAATAATTAAAAAAAATAAGATAATTTTGTTAAGAAGAGTAGCTTTTCAAATCTTAAAAGTTAAAAATTTTCACAACAGTAACATTGTAGACCCTTCCTGTAAAAATACTTCTGGCAGCTATAACGATGTGAAACTTTAGCAGTTCCTGTTTCCTTTTTGAAACCAGTTGTAGAATTAATGCTTTAGAGCAGCGCAGTTTGCGAGAGGGCAGAATATCCGTAATGCTCTCGGGCAGCCATTCATGGAAGTAAACAGTTGGCGCGTTACACACCCGTTCGCACAAGTAAATTGGGACGCAGGAATGGGAGCTGGGGATGGGATGAGTTGCTCAGAAATGAACTCAGCGATTCCTCCGGCGGTATGCGGGGAGTAGCCGCGCTTAATGGGGAGAAAACAAAACGTGCATGGGTACAACATTGGTAATTAAATGGAAATAAAGTGAAAAGAAAATCCTTAATGTAGAGGAAGGCAGAAGAATGTCATGCACGCGAAGGGATCACTGACGCTAAGCACAACAGACAAGGTGATTATGTACCGCAGTGTTGACTCTGCCCGTTCATTATTGCTATTTAGTTGAGTTATTTAAGCGGGTACCTGGAGGTTAAGTAAGCATAGCAGCAGGAAGAGAGAGGGGAGGGGGAAAAAAAGAAAGTAAATTTTGTGTTCTGGTTTGTCATTTCCAGCGCTTCCTCGACTTCACTGGCAGCAAGATAACCTGTACTGGGTAAATTTATTTTAAGATTTGAAAGTCCCAGAAGAATGAGCCGCGTCCAGCAGCGCTCCCTCAGGCACTATTCCCCCCGTGTCATGCTGTGATGTACAGTGGTGACTGGGGACTGGAGGCGATCGTCTCCACTGAAGGCCTCAGGAGTCGATCTGCTCTTTACCCCCTGTGCTCAGCACTCTCAGAGGCAGATTGTTCTTTGGTTCTGTGTTGATTAAGTCCAAAAAGTGCTGCGAGCTGTCCTGTTGCCCAGCCTGTCCCACTGCCCGGTGGAACCTGATCTGGGGTTTTCTGGAGTCCTTGCCATGTCCCTGCTGCCCAACCCCATCAGTCATCAGCCGGATACTTTGATTCCCTGGTTTTGGCTGGAAGAAGCTTCTCCCCATGTTCCCCCCTTCATGCATGGAAATAAGGATCTTCTGAATTTGTCCCAGTTCCTGATGTACCACGTGCTGCCATCTTCCAAGGCCTCTTACAAACCACCTGGAGCTCTCTTGGGCACTGAAGTGGAAGTACCTCGAGGTGTGGGCCAGCAACCAAGCAGGGACGTGGGGTCCCAGCTGGGGCCGGGGGGTTTGCTGGTGTCTGTGCTGCATGGACTTTGTGTGCGTCCCGCGACCGCCTTTGTGTCCCCTTTATATGAGCGCTGGGTTTGCAGGTTTTGTGCCTCGCTGGTGGGAATGAGGGGGCGGAAGTCAGGTGAAACTCTGCGCCCGATGCAATGGCACTGGCAGCCTCTCTTTTATCTTACCAGCAGAAAAAACCCCACCGGCTCTCAGGTTTTAGGGGAATGCACACAGCAAAACTGAAATGAAAAAATTAAAGCCAGAAAAGATAACACAGCCCCATTTTGGATATTATTTATGGAATCATTAAATCATTTTATAACATGTAATATTAATATTGCATATTACTATTAAAATGGTGTTAAAAATCAGGTCAGGCTTCTTCAGATTTGTGTGTCCTGAGATCTGTGCCCCCTTTGCAGGTACAACACCTCTTACCCTTGGTGGGTCATATTTGTAAGGGCTGGGAAAGCAGTTCATGTGATCTTACTTCATCGTATATTAAGATAACTTAATTTTTCTCAGTGTTTTCCATGCTCTCATTTCAAACTGGTCTCATTACATGAAACGTATTTCATCCATATAGCATACTTTTGGTTTTTATTTTCAATATCTGTTTCATCGTTAGCTTTAGGGATACCCATACCAGATGTCATTTTATCTGCAGAGTTTGTTCCCCAATTTCTTCTTTTTAAGTCTGTACATTAGAGGCTGCAAAGGCCACGGCACAGGTCAAGGGCAGAGCCGATGCTCAGGAGCCGGAGCGGTCATCTCACTGAGGCTGGGGCTCTAACCATTGATCCTAGCTCCGGAGGGGCACCCTAGAAGGTTTAGGAACCTCGGTGCTATCAGAAGATGCTGTTGCAAAGGCGACTCCTTTTCACTCTTGTTTTGCTGCTGAGGGCTGGTGCCTGGGGCCAGGGGTGGACAGAAAGCATAACTCTGTCCTGATCAGATGGAAACCCTGTACTGGGCAAACTAACCTAGTTTGCGTGTAATGCCGATCCCTTGCCGTCGCCGCTGGTTCTGCGGGTGGGAGGATTGCAAACATAGACTCTTCTTGAAATGCGAATACACTGTTTTTCCACAGTTTTAACTTAAAGGATTTGCCCCGTGCTATCTCAGAGTCAAATTTCTCAAGCTGGTTGATCCTCTGTTTGTTTTGGTATCCTCTGTTCTGGTAGGGCCTGCCTCTCACTTATTTATATCCCTGTAACTCCGGAGTTGCTCTTCGGAAAGCGGTGGATCACGAGGTTCAAGGGGAGAATCAGACCCAAGCGTTTTCTCAGGAGCTACCAGGAAAATGCCTGGGCTGCGCAGCTTTTCTAATTAAAAATACATGAGCTCTCTCTTTTCTGTCCTTTTTTTTTTTTTTTTTTTAATGAATAGGACCCAAAGTATGCCAAGCCTTGCTGATTTTTTTCTTTTTTTTTTTTTTTCTTTTAATGCTATTAGGTTTATATTTTATTCTGGATTGAAAAGAAAATTGTGGTTGTCTTGACTACTAAAAAAACCCATCCTACACACTGCTTGAGAGATGTGCGATGGAGAGGAGGGAATTTAGCTGTACTCGGCTTGTGTTGTTTTCCAACTGCAAGTCTTGGAGCAGGTTCGGTGGAGACGTGGTCTCTTTAGCCTGAGACTTGCCTTGCAACGCTGGCTGCACCTTTGGTTACCGCGATAACGTTTTTATTTTCTCCAAACTCAACTCCATGCACAGCTAAAAATGTGTTTTGTTTCTAGGCGATAGTATATGAAGGCCAAGACAAGAACCCAGAAATGTGCCGAGTTCTGCTCACCCATGAAATAATGTGCAGGTAAGAAATACCCTGCTTCCAGTTAATTAGTGATGAGAAGATGAATCTGTCTCTCAAAATCTAGGTTGAACCTGCAGCTATTTTCGGACTTAAATTTATCTTTCTTGCATTAAACAATCCCAAAATAACACAGTTCGGTGTGTGTAATTAGCAGCAAGGTCTCAGTCGTCACACTAGTTTTCAATTATTTATAAAGAGTTATTCTTAACAGAATGCTACGGGTTTTCATTTAGACACCGTAGCCCGCAAAAGGTCTCCTCACCAAAATTAACAGTCAATTATAGGCTTCTAGCAATAAACGTCTCTGTCCCCAATTCCCAACAAAAATTCCTCAGTAAGATGACAAAATAGTAATTTTCGTTGGGTGTGTGTTGGTTTGTTTTTTTTTTTTTCCCCTGGATGTGCACTAAGGCTTGAAGTCAGGAGGCCTTTTTTGTCCTGGTTGCTGCTCATGCAAGGTCCCCGCTCGGCTGGAGCGGAGCAGGCGACACACCTCCACGCAGAAGACGTTGTCTTGTTGATTTTCTTTAAACTTGCCCATGCAGATTTGGCTCTGCCCTGTGCTCTCTTCCCCTGAACATGCCTGCCTGGGGTTGGTCTCTTAAATTCGGGACAGTCAAATAATCTTGTCTCCTGAACCGCGGTACTTCTGCAACGGGCAGCTGCTTCCTTCTCTTTTCTGGCTGACTGAAATAGGTGAAGCCTCTTCTACTTCCTTTTTACCACAGAGTAGGCAGCATCTTCCCACAGACCCCTCCGACACCTAGGAGAGCCTGACCTTGCAGCCTCACTGAAGTTAGTGGGTGTTTTTTGCATGCCCTAAAAAAATCATTTGTTACATGTTATTTGATGGCAGAAAATAATTCCCTGGTGGAAGACGAGGCGTTCTTGCATAAGCTCATTGTTACAATCAGTTGTTTTAAGACTGTAAAAATGCCATTGCATGCGTTGTAACTTTTACAAAACACATTTACTAAAAAGGAGTAACTTGAGGGTAAAAGCTAGTACCCACTTCTAAGAGAATAGATTTGGATGAGGGTTTCCTGGTGGGGGAGAGTCTTGGACAAAATATTCAGATGGAAACTTCTCTGTTGGTTGATTTTTTTTTTAAATTTTTTTTCTTAATTCTTTTTTTTTTTTTTCATTCTTGGTGATCTGCATGTTTTGTCCTCCATGGCAGCTCCTCCCTGATAAAACTCTGCTGGAGGGCAGTGCCCTGCGATGCCGGCAGAGAAGGAGCTGCTCTCCTTGCTTTGCCAGCCTGGCCGAAACCCTGCACAGCCCCCCACATTCTTCCTCGCAGGATTTGGGGGATTTTAGTTTTCATGTCATGTTTTTCTAGGCTGCTTTGTTCATTAGGTTTGGCTTCTTCCAGGAAACCAAAGATAACCCATCACAGCCCGAGGACGATCAGAGCAGACGGGTATCTCCAAGAGGTGCCTGAGCTTCTGCTGCTGTTGGGAGCTGCAGCATTGCTTTGAGGAGGACTCCCGGCCAGTTCTCCCTTTCCGAATGGAAACCCAGTGCTGACAACTCGTAATTGCCCTAAAATTCATTGGCCCAATTAAGCACCACTTTCACACTAGATACCTAGCTAGGAACAATTCATGGAAATATTAAAGGAGGCCCCTGACCTGATAAGGCTGAAGTGCGTGCCTTGCTTTTCTCCTGTAATAGACCAGTAGAACAGTGGGACTGTTCACGCGAGTAAAATTAAGCACATGCTCAAGTGCCTGCAGCGTCAGGGTCCAAATCTGCTGTTAGTCCTGGGAGTTGTGCCCTCCTGACTCCGAAATGGAAAGGTTTTGTGGTGGGAATTACACCAGCCTGCCACTCACTGAGCCGGCCGTGCAAGAGTGAGAATCACCTACTTTAATGCATTAATTTTCTTACAAGTGCTTTAGAAACATAAAGAGTTTAAACTTTATACAGAGGGCTGAGTTTTAACCAGAAGACCAAAAGATTTATGGCCGTTCAATATACTTCGGCTGAGACAAAATTATTTCCGTTCTGGGGATGTGGGAAGATGTGCAGTCTTTCCCTTTATTAAAGCACTTTACACTTTCTTTGTGCTTAAAACTCACTGGCTCAGGAGCTTTATTCTTCTCCTCCTGTTCGTTTACTGCTAGTTCTTGCTTTATGTTTCATAACCATAAGGTGGAGGGGTAGCAAAAAAAATAATATCTGACCATAGCAGGCAAATGTTGTGTGCCTGACGGGGTGGGGGAGACATATTCAAATTTCTTACAGCTCATATTAGATATTACCCATTTCCTTTTCTGCCTATACATGTGTAAGAAGGTGCTGTTTGTTTACCAGGCCGCTTGACCCTATTGCACAAATCTGTCATCTATTGTGCTGCTAACACTCTTTTAAATTGCAAATCTGATGCTCTTTAGGGGTCTAGAAGAGGAAAAAAAATATCTCTCCACACCATTCTGTTTCTCTTGATTTCTTGCCTGTTGTAAGTGGAAGTTGGGATGTGCTGAATTTGCACCAGGGGTGCAAATGCAGCCTCAATTATAAGCATAAAATTAGAGTCTGTTCCCCATTAATCAGCCCAGCTAATTGCTATGCACTACCATTAGCCATATGGTGTGAAAGACAGCTTGCTCTCCCTAAGATGAAATTTCTTCATTTCAGACATGAAATAGTGAGGGCTCTGTATTTTAAAATAGCTTGGTTTAGATATTTAATTTCTAAACAACTTTCAGCAGTGCTTTCTATCAAGGCTAACTGCACAATAAAACTTTGCATTTATGTGACAAAGCTGCGTATTTATAGTATCCTACAACTATGGCATGGATAAGACAAAGAATTCAAATGCACAGGAGAGTCCTGGTTGTGGTAGGAAAGTGGGGCTGAGGTTTGCTTCAGGTGGCTGTTTATTTCAAAGGATTTCATTGTGTTTTGTCAAATATAAAAATCTATGCTGTTGGCGAAAATGTTAATAGCTGGGGAGAATTCACAGCCTCAGTGGAATTTATTAGTATTGTAGGCAGCATGGGGAGGGACATCTATAGTTAATATTGCCTCAACAATTTCCATTATGAAACCTTTAGTGGCTTACAGCTTTGCCAAACTTAAACTGTTCTGGCTGAAACGTCCTTTGCAGGGTGTCAGCCTCAGGCTGACTTTCTTTGGAAAGTTTCAGCTAAAATGGTTCAGTGATTTCTGAGAATGAGGTTGGAGTAAAATATGGTTTTTGTCTGTGTAAAATAAAAATCTTACAGCTGTTTTGGTGAGAAGCTCCCGTACCTCCACGCTTCGGGGTGAGGAGCCTGTTTGGGGCAGGGGTTGTCCCGGCCGCATCGTCTGCGGGATGAAACCCACCTCGCTGGGAGCTTCTGCAAAATCTCCCACATGGACTCGCTAACGACTTGTTAGAGCCTGGCAGCTGAATGATCGGAAAGTCGCATTTGCGCTGGCCACGTGCCATCGCCCCGTAATTTCTCATTGTTCATTGTCCCCGCAGAAAGCCCGAGCGCGCAGATACACAAAGCAGGGCTCCTCTTGTGAACGATGCTCCTGGCCCCCACGCCGGGGCGGGGACGGGAGGATTTGGGGGTGCCAGACATCGGGGTGAGGAGGCCATCTCCTGTGCACCCGTGGTGGGGCTGGGCAGCACGGGATAGAGATGCTCCAGCACAGGGAAGGGAGGAGGAAGATATGGAGCAAGATGGCAGGAGGGCAGCAAGTCCCCAGAGGGTTGGGGTGAGGACAAAGGCAGCAACAAAAGCTGGGAGTGGTGGTGGCCAGCGGACGGGGAGGCCTGCAAAGGGGCAGGATGGGGATGGTGCGAGGCTTGGGCATGATCCCTGGGGATGGGGAAGATGGCAATAGGAGGTGGGGAAACCTGGGGTAGGCAGAGATGGGGTGTAGGAGCAGGGAGGGGGTTGTAATGGCAAGAGACTTCATTACTGTCGAGGACTACTTCTTTTAAAAACAAACAACTCCCCAAATGAAGCGATATTTTTCAGGTTTTTTCTGTGGGCCAGCATGATGTTGTGCCTGAGCTGTGGCTCCTTGCCCCACTTGGGAACGGCCGTCACGGAGGGAAGCGAGGACAAGTCCTCGCCCTCCTGGCTGCAAGGAGCCGTCACTCGGCGCCTTTCCCTGCGCTTTCACAGAGCCTCGCTGGGAGCTGGAAGGTTTCTGGGTGACTTGGAGAAGCTCCTGCGAATTTTTAGATTCCTTCAGGGAAAGGAGAAAGGGCTCTAAATGTTTAGGAACTTTTTTCCAAGTGTTAAGTAGGCACTAAAAGCCAAAGCTTTCGAGGCAAGCTGAATTAAAAGCACTTCTCATGCCACGCAACCAGGTCTCAAACTCAGGGTTTGCCTGATGTTTTAATTCTCTGCATAGCAAAACTAGGGTGGACAAAGCCTTGGATTCTGCTGTTGGGGGGAAAAAATGCAAAAGGCAAGCTAAGGCTTAAAAAATAATTATCTAGAACATGAAAGAACATTTGGGGCCTCCTTTCATGCCACAGAGCCACCAGACAGCGGGACGTGCCAGCCATGAAGCTCTTCCACACCACCCTCAAATTGCGGTGCAAGGAGTGAGGTCTCCTACTGTTACTTGGGATTATTGGGGTGCCCTCTTGGCAAGCCCTATCCAAACGAGGGGGCCACCTGGCGAGCAACGTGGTGTCTCCTCCACTCTCGAAGATGGGTTGTCCCTGTTGGCCAGCGCCTGACTCCATCCCACTTGCGGCAGGAGGCGAGACTGAGGCGTCCCCATCTCCGGGCCCCTGCGGCCGCCTCTCCCGCTGGGTTAATGCCCCAGGAAGGTGCCGCCCTCCGAGCCTGGTGGTGCGTGGATGGTGGTATCTGCCCATCTTGGGCTGGGAGCCTGGGAACCTTTGCTCGCCTGAGTAAGTGTGGCAATTTCTGTCCCTCCAGTCTGCTGTGAGAATGTCAGGACTAGCCCTGATTTGCTTCAGTCACAAGAACTGCATTGTCTTAACTTGTGCCAACTCTGTTTCTAATTACATTTTAATCATTTAAAAATGATTAGCAGTTTTTATTGCCTTGTTTGTGGGTAAATTTTCTCACCCCACACATTCTAGCTGCACTCCAATGACAAGTCCTTTTATAGGCAAAAAAGCCCCCTGAACATCCACATGACTACTTACCTACAGCATATTTTATTCCTTCCTAAATTTTAATACTTTCTGGGTGCCAAGGCTCTTGCATTTTTTGGTGGATCAATTGTGGTATTGTGCTGTAAAATTAAGCAGTTTTTTTTGGCAATCCCAAACAATGTAACTTCCACCGAAATGAAGATACCGCACATGTGTTAACTGTGAAAAGTTTCAGCCCTGAATAGTTGCCTTGAAGCTTTTTGCGGTGAAAAGAATTATGTATTTTCCTCTCTTTGAAAACAAAAATTTTTTTTTTTTTTTTGAAACCATGTTTAAACAGGCTGTTTTTGTAAAAGGCCCCCTTTTTTTTCTGTTATCTTTAGTGTGGTTAGTTGCTTTATTGCTAATCTTGGTGGGTAACTGTATATTATTCACTCTATTGTTCAGCAACACAAGAGAACCTTTGTCATACTCCCAACAGGGCTATTTATATAGTGTGGCACTTCTGAGGGCTTCTTCCTGCCCTGATGTTCTTCCACCTTCTGGGGAAAAGAAAATAGTTCATCTGAGTGGGAGCGCGAGCAGTGGTCATTCTTGCCAGCTGCCCAAAGCCGGCTGCTGAAATAAAGGCGGCAGCAGGTCCCTGGGATGCTGTTTGGAACAAGCTTGGTGGTTTCCAAAGATTGGGTTGCGTGTGGTTGAGGTTTACCAGAAAGTTTATTGAATGGAGAGATGCACTCAGGTTTGGCCAGGGAGAGCAAACACGGTGGTCCCCACTGCCTGTGACTTGGTGCCACCGTGGATGGGGTCTTTGCAGCCCTCACCCCACAGGAGCTGCCCAGGCTTTGTCCAGCAGCTCCCTGAGGTTCAAGGAGAGCTTGGGAAGACCAGGAGCTTCTTGATATTTTTTTTTTTTTTTTTAATTGCTTGGAGCCTTGAATCCAGTGGGGAATTTTCTGTTAAGGGATGTCACCAAATAGGAGCTTTCCTTACTTAGATGGGTGTTTCCTCCCTGGGGCGAGCGGGTGGGTGAAAGCCTACGGCTTTGCTCGCCTACGTAGATGTGACTCGGTCTTGTGGGTTTAGGCAGGCTGCTGGGGAGAGCAGGGCTCCTGCCGGCAGCCCTCACGTCTCTGGATGCGCCAGGAGGGATTCCCACCCCAAGCAGAAACGTGTACATTGCCTGTGAGCTTACCTGCAATATATTTGTGGCTCCTAATGGACAATAACCCCTGACAAGGAATCATCACAAACAACAATTTAACTTCTCTTAGGAAACAATGAGCCATCTCAGTTCAAAAGAATCCCAGCCTCGAGGTCAGCGATGGAGCAGTGCTTTGGGAGACGGAGCTTATATTTCACATGCCTGCTTTGTATCTGACCTGACGCAGGGCACCAGCCGCTGGAGCTGTGCTCTCCATGGCATTAGCGATCATTAACATGCTCAGAAAACTTGGGGAAACAGGCACGCTCGAGCATAAAAAAGCCACTGCCGCTGGTGCTTGTATTTTGGCTCCCCTATTAACAACAGTGTTTCTTAGAGGGAGAATAATTGCGCTTTCGGATTTTGGAGGGAGGTTTCCCGGTAGCTGAGAATTTGGCTCTGTGCAGAAGCAGGAATAGCTTGTGGATGTGTAACATAAGCGTTAAGCAAATGTAAAAACCAGGCTCAGCAGGGAAAAAGCTGCCTTATTTTGTGTGCGAGTATATGCGGGACAACTGTTAAACCCTATGGAAAAGAGGCTACAAATAGGCAGGTCTCCCTGTTTTGGGCGATCCTTGAATTATTATTTATGAAAGGGGCAAAACCCCTCTCTTTTTATATTTTCCGTTGCTAACCAGCTGTGCAAGAAGTTAAACATAGTAATTAACCCATATGTGACCCACTACATTTGACTGATTTCCAGGCAGGGATGGAGCGGTAACTCTAGCCGGCAATTTGAACCTACCATGTTCGTAATGATGATTTTACAGTGTAATGGTCGCACTAAATCCTTTCACTTTTGCTCCGTAGCCGCTGTTGTGACAAGAAAAGCTGTGGCAACAGAAATGAGACTCCATCAGATCCAGTGATAATTGACAGGTAAGGACTGCTATTGTTTCCTTCCATATTTTTTTTTTCTCCCCCTCCTCATTATAATGAAACACCTGCCCTGTGTTGCTAATGGGGAAGAATTAGGAGTATATACGGATGAAATTTTGTTTTTGATGCCGAATTAGTTGTGCTTTGTGATTGCCATGGAAGGGCCATATGGAGGATACCGGAGTGACCTGCTCCTTTGGAGGGCTCCGCTTCTTGTAACTGATTCATGTGCATAAAGAGGAGATTTTTCTTTCTGACTTTCTGCGGCTCAATTCACATGCTGTGCCAGGGAAGCTTCAGGAATAAAATAATAATAGTTTGTGATTTATGAAATGTGGTTGGGTGCTTATAAATATTTAACTTTTATTTGAAAAATGTCTGAATCATTATCACTTTTAGCTACAGTAGTTCTGTGGGATGCAATCCATCTACATTTTAAGGTTTTTATTTATGCATAAAAACAGTTACGAAAAAAAGATCTGTGAAGTAAGGTTTTTTCCTCCTGTTATTTTCTTTGGTTGGAATACTATTTTGACTGTATTGTCAGTTGATTAATTCATTTTTGCCTGTCTTAATTATTGTGTTTTTAAACAGACCCATATTGCTAATCTGACATCACCCAGTAAATCACCATCATACAATACATCTATTTTAGTTTTTCCAAGCCACGCGTAGTTTCCGTGCTTGCAAAATGATGCAGAATGGTAGCCAAATAGTCATTTTTACATTTTAATTGTCCAAACTCAGTGTACAAAGCCACGTGTGATAACCAGGTTATTATGCAGCATTACTCCAGAAGAGTTAAATGGCCATGAAGTACTGAAAGTGTCTGCCAGCAGCTGGGGAAAGCAATACCCTTCCACTAATCTGTGAACAGAGGGACCCTGAAGGGAAATTACCGATAGGTATAGGGGTGAGGGCAGAGGCCGGTGTGCTTCTCCTCGCATTATTGCCTGGGTTAATGTGTGAAGAGGGTTTGATGCGCTGGGCAGAGAGCGCTCCAGGGGTACGGCAGAGCCTTGCCTGGCATCGTGCTCATCCAGACTCCCAGATTTACAGTTCTTGTTTGAATTTGGTAAGAAAGTGCATATATTGGAAGCTTATAGCAGATGTTTTGATTAGCTATAATAAGTAATCCTGAGAATGTTTAAATCTCAGAGGTGTATCTATCTATTTTAACTAGGCGTATTTTCATCTTCTGTGAGCATTAGGTAGTACCAGGGAAAATGGGGGGGGGGGGGGGGGGAAAACCCAACAGGAAAGTTTTAAGAATAGAGATGTGTTTTATAAGCATGCTGCAGAGTTGAACACTATAAACATGGTGTTAGAGTGGCATTTTGAGCAACATGAAAGCTACAAAATTCACATGAATTTTTCATTGTACTGGAAAGTGAGATGTTAAGATGCTAATGGCAGGTTTACAGAAATATTTTGTTTAACTATCTAGTATGCAAAACTGCTAGTTGCAAATCATTTTAAATTATGAAAGCCAGAGATGCTGTCTGTGACATGCTCCTGCAAAATGAGGAAAACAGTTACATGAAAAAAACCCCAGATTTATCTCCTTAGCAGTGATCAATTTATCAGTCTTTACGTAAATTGATGCAAAAGGTACCAATTTTGAAGATTATTTTTAAAAAGCAAGCTAAACATAATTTGAAGATGATAATACAAACCCTACCTCACCACCCGTGCTGAATCACGCTTGGCTTGTGAATGGGTTAAGCTTTTAAGTTCTTCACTTCATTTTAAATTGTGACTTTGATACAGAAGGTTGATATGACTGCGGTTTGAATAACATTTGATTTTGACCTGTTCCTGTGGGTTGCAATGGTATAAGAAATTTGACTCAGCAGTACTGTAATTAGCCCTCCCCGTGTTTTTGAAACAGGATTGTGTTACCTGGATTGCATTAGTGTGGCTTCTATTGTTGCCGCTTCGCATCTGTCCCAGTAGGGTACTTAAAACCTTTTCTTGGCTGGGGCTAGTTCAAACAATTTAGGCCAAATAAGTATGTGCTTTATACAGTTAGTGCCTTCAGTGATGTTTCTTGTGACATTTATCCTACTCCTTTTTTTTTTTTTTTTTTTTCCCTTTTGGTTTGGAAAGGATGAAGTGGTCTATATGGAGCCTTTTTACCTTAGAACGAGTCTTTTAAAATTGTCCTGACGCTAAAATGCCTGCACCAGTCAGAACATGTGTTTAGTGGTACTCTATTGTCACTTCTCCATGCACACAATTTTTAACTATTATGTCAATTGATATGCAAAACCATATTTAGCTATTTTTATTTGCATGTGAGCTTACAGAATTCATTTACCATTTGGGCTAAAGCACTCCCACATGCCTTACGCTCTGATAAAGTCTTGCCTGTGGATTTAATCTAACTCTTGCATCAAATCCTGTGAATCCACAGCCTCTGACCTAACATAGAATTTAACGTAGAATCTATCCATGGGATTTTTGACATATGTACTTACATGGAAATGCTATCCTCTTCCTACATGCTGGAACACTATTTTGGATTGATTAATTCTCTTTGATGAGGCTAGAGAAACTTGGGATAGAGCGAGCTCTGCCTTTGTGGTGGTTTAGTGAACTTGGCGAAGAGGCTGTTTGGCAACTTCAAAGTTGCATGTGTTGTGTTCTTTTTCAAACCCTAGATATATATGAGAAGTAAATTGTATCTTTTTATTTAATCAAAATGTGGGATTTTAAAAAAGTCTGTAGTTGCGTTCAAAACAGGATACGACTTTATCCTTTATAAAATTGCTTTCTACTTTCCTCTATTATAGTATCAGCAGATATAGCAGTGAACGGGACCTAAAGAATTCCATACTCCTATAGCGATCTAAATTTTCTCTGGAGAACAAAATAAATCTATTTTGCATACAGAGCAGTTGTTCCAAGGAAGTTTCTTGGAAACCTGTGTGTGTCTGAATCATCTTCTTAGCGTAGCCTGTATATTTTCTCGCTAATCCAGTTACACGTGTTGAGATGAAGCTCTGATGAACAGGAGCTCATTTTAAAGGGGGTATTATTGTCACGATACGAACGCACGGTTCCTCCTCCAAGCGCAGCGGCAGGGCTGCATTGTAATCACACTTAAAGAAAACACAGAGCACTTCCTGTTATTAAATTAAATTCTAGATTGATTTAACTTTCAAATTGTAACTCATATTTGAATTTAAAAGGTTTGCAATAAAATTCCTGTGAAGAAATTGAATAAATTGTAGTTTTATTACCACTCTGGATATCCTGGTGTCCTAACCTTTTTCCTTACAGTTATCTTAGTTCAATAAATAAAACCTCATTAGACTATTCCCATTTCAACGAGTTTATTAAATTTTACAGGAGTAATTAGCATAAGCTGTGCTAATTTTTCTGGAAGACTAATGAGAGAGCTTCCTAATTAGGTTTGCTTTGTAAGAATCAGAAAAGATGATAATGACAAAAGTCACATAGGAGAGAAAGTGGGGCTTTCTGTTATTCCTTGGTTCTG